CCACCTTAGGTGTACATGGCTGGCGCCTTAGCCGGTTGAGCTATAGGAGCCGAGCCGATCCCGTCACTTTCAAGGTGCCCTGTTTGTGAGCCTAATGAAAATCTATCCTCTTGATTTAGATCTGTCTTCTATAAAACATTAAGCAACAACCTCTAAGTGCCTGCTAGTTATGCACCAGGCTTTGCCCTAGGGATACAGAGATGACAATGATGTGGCTATGTTTATGAGATTTCAGAATTATGTCAACAGATATTTGTAGAAAAGAGCTCAATCACAGATGTGGCAATAGTGGACATCTGCTGTAGATATATAGGAGAGAGAACATAAACTGAAGGGGCATCTCTGAAAATGAAAGTAATTTCAACAAGAAGGTACCTGAATTGCATCTTGACAAATGAGATAGTCAACTAGGAAAAATGTGAGAGAAGGGCGACGCCTGTAGCTCAGGGAGTAGGGCGCCAGCTCCATATACCGAGGGTGGTGGGTTTGAACCCAGCCCTGGCCAAACTGCAACAAAAAATTGATGGGCATTGTGGCGGGCGCCTGTGGTCCCAGCTAACCCTTGAGGTTGAGGCAAGAAAATTGCCTAAGCCCAAGAGCCAAAGGTTGCTTTGAGCTGTGACGCCACCACACTCTGCCATAGGTGACAAAGTGAGACTCTGTCTCTAAAAAATAAAAGAAAAAAAAGTGAGAGAAAAGGAAGAAGGAAGATTTAAGGAAGGAGAAGTGAAAGAACACAATTTGTCCAGGAGAGGAGTGGTAGGAATTGATAAAGGTAAGGCTGTTTGGAGCCATAATGTCAAAAGCCTTGACTATTAAGCTAAATTACATCTCTGGACTTTATCCTTGAGGCAAAGAAATCTTAGAGTCCAGGCCAACCACTAGGGAAGGTGTATATTTCCAAAAAGGTAAGTTACAAGAACAGATTTCTGTTTATAAAGGTCATTTTGGTGGTAGGGTAGAGAAAGAACTGAAGAATAGTGGGAGCAAAGATTGGGAGTATGATACCCAGTGTGGAGGTGACCTAGACTGGGAGATATTGTGGTTTAAATGTGTCCTCCAAAGTTCATTTCTTAGAAGCTTAATCCGTGGTCAGTACAGTGGCTCATGCTGGTAATCCTAGCACTCTGGGACACCGAGGCATGTGGACTGCTTGAGCTTAGGAGTTCCAGACCAGCCTGAGCAAAAGCAAGACCTCGTCTCCACTAAATATGGAAAAATTAGCCAGGTGCGGTGGTGTGTGCCAGCTAGTAGTCCCAGCTACTTTGGAGGCTGAGGCAGGATTGGTTGAACCCAGCAGTTTGAGATTAGCCTAAGGCCATGGCACTCTAGCCTGGGTGACAGAGCAAGATTCTGTCTCAAAAAAACCAAAAAAACCCACCAAGGGTAGAGGGTTCGAACCTGGCCCAGGCCTGCTAACAACAATGACAACTGCAAGCAAAAAATTGCCGGGCATTGTCATGGGCTCCTGTAGTACCAGCTATTGGGAGGCTGAGGCAAGAGAATCATTTAAGCCCTAGAGTTTGAGGTTGCTGTGAGCTGTGACACCAGGGCACTCTACCCAGGGTGACAGCTTGAGATTTTGTCTCAAAAGAAAAAAAAATTAGTGGTCATTAATTCCCAATATGTGTTAAGAGGTGAGACCTCTACCAAGTGATTAGGTCAGAGCCCTCATGAATGGATTAATGTTGTTATTATAGGAGTAAGGGTTAGTTATTTCAGGAGTGGATTCCTGATAAAAGGATGAGTCTGACCTTCTTTCCGTAAGCCCCCTCTACTCAAATTCTTTTGTCTTTCCACCTTTGACCATGAGATGACACAGCATGAAGGCCCTCACCAGGCACAGCACCTTTGACTTTCATCCTTCAGAACAATGAGCCAAATACATTTGTATTTATTATATAAATTATTCAGGCTGTGATACTGTTATGGATGGCATTATAAAACAGACTAAGATAAGGGGCAAGACTTAACTACCATAAGGATATGACCATTACTAATTGGATACAGGGGATAAAGAAGGAAGAGTAGGTCTGGTAGAAGGTGATGCTACAGATGTTGCTACTCTGGCACAGGAATACAGGAGTTTAGGAGGACTGGACTGGAGTATAATATGCAATGTAATAGTGAGTAATGGTTCTGTCCAAGAATACCCAGGAGGTAAATGGAAATGGCAATTTTGAGCTCAGAAAACAACTGATTTGAGATGGAACCACAGGACATATTATCTTGGTAGTGGTGGCTAGAGCCCTTGGGTATCTTAGAAACCCAGGTCAAGGGAAGTAGAAGAGCAAGAATAAAGGAGCACTGAGAAAAGAGTCCTAGAGAACATCAAGACTTAACCAAGAAAAGGAAGAGAAGCAAGAAAGACAATTGGGAAAGAAGAGAGTGAGGAAAATGTGGTATAAAAGGTGCGAAGAATAGAGAAGGGACTCCTTCTATACCCTGCCTAGGCTCATCACAACTGACTCAGGGCTAAGGTGTCCTTTCTTCTCATGGCTGACTCTTTTGTCTTTGTCCTACTCCACTTTTAAATTGCAGAGAATGATCCAATGGAAAGTCACTTTTTTTTTTTTGAGACAGAGTCTCATTAAGTCATCCTTCGTAGAGTGCCATGACGTGACAGCTCACAGCTACCTCAAACTCTTGGGCTTAAGCAATTCTCTTGCCTCAGCCTCTAAGTAGCTGGGACTACAGATGCCCACCACAATGCCCACCTATCTTTTTGTTGCAGTTGTCATTGTTGTTTAGCTGGCCTGGGCTGAGTTCAAAACCTCCACCCTCGGTGCATGTGGCTGATACTATGGGTGCCGAGCCAAAAGTCACATTGATTAAGTGACCCTCTGCTAACATTCCTTTAAAATGAAAATAGAATAGACTGAAATAAAATATCAGAGTATACTGCAAACAGTAAGGAAGTATTTTACATGAGTACTTCTTTTTTAGTTATACAGTTTTCATTATTGGGCCATAATGCAAAAATATGTCTCTTATGGTAGACTGTGATCAAATAAGCTGGAATGCCAGAGCCACAGACTGTCCAGCCTCCTCAAGGGCCTTGCTCTGTCCATCATCTCCCTTTTCCCATGGCCATAACCTCCTCTGGCTACTGGTTCTTTTGTTCACCAACACAAAGACCTTTGCAACACTCTCTTATTATAAATGACAATACATCCCCTCCTGCTAGTATACCTTCTTGTC